GTCGGGGATTTTATAGGTCCGAAACCACTCCCGCACTGCGTCCAAGGTGCCCGGGAGCAGCCTCTCCACGTCCTGCACGTCGTTCAATTCCCGTGCCCACCGGTCCTCCTCGTCGATGGCGATCACCTTCCAATCCGCCTCGCCGTCGTCGATGAGGCAGAGGACGCCCAGGACCTTGACCTGCCTCACCGCCCCCGTCGGGATCTGCCGGAGCCCAATCTCGCAGACGTCCAAGGGATCGTTGTCCCCACCCACCCCTACGTCTTCGGGAACATGCTGCGGATCCTCCCAGGTGCGAGGGAAGCAACCATAGTTAAAAAAAATATCCCCCTTTGAGAACACTCGGGGTTTTCCGTTCTTCTGGTCTTGCTTGATGGGATTGCCGGCCTCCGTCGTGCAAATTTCGAACTTGCGGCGGGTAAATTTGGGGCTAGATACGGAGCGATCGGGTTCCAATCGCACGTTAAAGGAGAGCAAGACGAGAAAAAAAGCCAAGAGTGAATTCATGCATTAGTTCACGTGTGCTACGCTACCCCACGACTGTGGTTAATGCACGAAACACATCACTGTTCCGGCATACTTACATCTCGCAAATAAAGTTGAGAGCGCCTGTGGGCTTGGCGTCGTCGTCGACTGCAAACAGTGGCAGCTCATGCCAAAGCGAAATACGCTCCTGGTTGTGATCAAGGGAATGGACGCGGTAATCCACAGTGTCGTGCTCTCCTTCCTGTATCGCAAGAGGTATGTGAGGTGTATAGTGGAAAAAGATCGAGTCGTCCTTTGAGCTATATAGTAAAAATAGACGAAGCCATACTGAGTCTAGTTATCAGATTATCAACTAAGCTTTATGTGCTTTACTTTCTGACCTATTATTTGGTCAGTGACGGCCAATATGCAATTTTGATTAACTATGGAATTATTCGACTCAGCGATCGGAGTGATTCCTATTTCGTGTCACATCCCCTCAGAGACATCCTACTCAGCAATATCATCGTCGTGAGACAATAGCCGGGACTATGCGCGTACCTGGACCTTAGTCAGGCGGTTGATTGTATTGACGGAGGCCACACGCTTCATGGCCCTGATTGCGGGGTCCAAGGGTGGCTCGGTCCTTCCAAACTGGCGACTTCCTGACCTTCTCTTCACGCCGCGGCGCGCAGCAAGGCTGAGGCTTCGGTATTAGGTGTTGAATCATCAATATGGAGGTAAAAAATATTCAGTGCGTGCCTTTTTAGATTTGTCAATCAAATTCATCAGTCGTTCGTAAGCTTGGGTACTGCCCCAGAGGCTCGCACGTCACGGCCAGAAACGCATGGGCGACGCGATCCCCCAAATATTCTGTGGAGATTCGACATGTTTGGTCATCGCATTGGAAGCGCGACCAGACCATGCAGTCCTTCATATGTAAAGTGAGTCTTTTCTTGATCTTTCTCAGACATGCGTGAAGCGTACATGGAATATCGGACCACTTCGTCGAGTAGCGGATCGATCTGGTATCTCCGCTTACTTAACGACGTTTTCAGTCCGCCACCGCCACGTACTGTGCGGACATGGGTACCTACTAGTTTGAGAATAAGGCATAAATGAAGTTGTCGCAGTACGTTCTATCCTCTCCAATTGGAGTAATTGCCACGAAAGTGCATGGAGGAGGAGAATCGCAGTCGTGAGTGCCGCATTATTCAGGGTCCTGTTTAATACCAGCGTGACCGCTCAAATGCCCGGCGGTACGGTTTAAATCGGGAAGTAGGAGGTTGGAAACGGACGCCGACTCGAACGAACGGGATCAGGCTTGCTTGAACGTCGCGATGGATGAACGATACCACGAACACAGTAATTAATGAGTTATTTTGTGCTTAGAGCTACTTTCCTTGCATCTTCGTGCTTGACCGAGAATTCCTTCAAACGAGAGGTTGCGTAATATGCCGCATAAACAATTCTGGCAGATGCACATAACTTTTAATGTCGAATTTACAACGAGTAAAGTTTCTTCTCAATGAGTAGGCGCTCATCAGTAAAGTCTAAGTGTGGCCACTCCGCCTGCAATTTTTTCATTTCCTTCAGCTGCTTCTTCAAAAATGTTTGATGGGCGGAGCTTGCCTCGTCAAGGGGTCGATGCAAGAGATTACGCTGCAAGCCTTCCATCTCTTTTTTGAATCGGACTGATGCCGAAGAGTTGTCGAAATACGTGTCGACAAAGCGAGTATAAATGTAGTCGAGTGCGAGGGGAGAAGGATGGAGCATATCCGTGGCATAGAAGCGGTAATCTCGGAGGTCATCCATCATGATCTCGTACGCAGGGAAATAGGACAAAAGAGGGGCTTTTAATGACGAGGTAGAGCTCGGGGATGAAGACGTCTTTTCTTTGTCCAAGAATTCATGAACAGCGGCGAGAAGGTGGGCCTTGCTGCGGGCGCTTTGTACTTGTAAAAATGAGAAAGGGAAACATGATGAGTGGATGAAGAACACTCATCCCAAAATACGCGACGACAGCGGGGACGAACACTTTCGATGCATTGACACATAACGAAAATTCACACACATATCAATCGGCCCGCTTCGTTCAAAAGCGCAGCTTTGTGATAAGCCATCTCACCGCACACCACGCCGTCCCTCCGAGCCTACACACCTGCCTCACCGCCGGCGTTTCGGATGTGGCGAACCGGAGAGACGGTGAAGCTGATAGTGCAATGAGGATTCAGACACCTAATCGACTCCACAGTTTGATGGAGTGCCTGGACTATGCGAGGAGGGTCTGACGGCACAAGGTTGGAGGGTAAAATTCCGGGGAGTAGACGACCTAGGCATATAAGGGTGCAGCAAAGTGGATTTCACGCCCATGGTCTCACCCACCTAACAGCTCGCGCCGAAAGCATGCAGCGGGAAGCCGATGGCAATTGGCGACAATTTGTCCACCATCGTTCGCTCCTCTTGCCCTCAGTTGCTGCTTTTCCTCACGCCCCTCTATTCCCTCAGCCCCGTCTGCTTTGCTCTCTTCCCCGTTGCATCCCTCCCTTTCTTCTCTCTGTTTATCCAGTTCATCCGTTTTTTTGAAGTAAACATACGCATGAGCCGTTCCAAGAGTCACAAAGACGTGTTGCGCCCCGCGTAAGAACGCGCGGCCCGCCATTAAACGTGCATTGATACCTGCCAGGGCATTCGAGCGGTCCCGATCGCTGAAGCCTGAGTGGTGCTCGAGGCTGTGGTAGGGAGAAGAGGTCAAACACCTGAAAAGCTCGGCTGCCTTAAAATTCTCTTTCATGATGTCTTACAGTCAAAGGTAACTTGATGATTGAATGCGCATGCGCGCCAAGCGATGACGTTGATATCGCTCTCTCACCTGATCCATCGTCCGTCCTGCGGATGCCTCAGGAGCTCCTCTTGGTCGAAGAGACGGCCTGTTGCGAGGCGATGCAGGCAACGTGCGATTGAAACGGGGTTATACGAAGTGCCGAACGGATTAACCTCCACTTTCATTTTCAGCTTCTCTTTGAGTGTGTTGCCCATGGTGTCCGAAAAGCAGGAACCGATGAAAAATACTTGATCAGCGGGGTGGATGCGGCAAGCATCGGGGCGAGGAGCGATAGGGACGATCGTACGAAAGCTGTTGTGAAAAGAGCTGGAAATTCTTGTCGATGACCTGGTTCGCGTGACAAGTAATTGGTCGGGCCGGCTCGTACCGACGCGTGGGAGGGGGGGAGGTAGAAAAGATGACGCCGATAACATGGCAAGTCTGCCATCTTGAGGAGGTGAAAAAGAACATGCCACGAGCATGATATTCTTGACGACCAAGAGTGATCGCAGAGAAGTTTTTTCTCCGGTTCCTACCGGCGTAGCATGACGTCCCTGAGCAGGCCCTCGGGATAGAGCGTGGTTTCCTCTGCCAGGAAAATAGCGCGTTGAGCTGCAAGTCATGCCTCCGCAACGGCTCGCATTCTCATTAATTTCCCCCTGTCCGCAGAGAAGTAGTACAACGGGGTTGATTCAGACGCGTTCTTGTGCCCGGATGTCCCACTCTTCATTTTTATCCGAACGCCGGCCCCCCCGTCGGCCCTCTCGCTGATAAAATTCCATCCCCTTCAAACCAATGTACCCGGTCTGTCCCACCACAACCTCGAGCCCCGTCCTCACCCGCTGTGCGCTCTCCGACCCCCATTCTGCACACAGCGTGCCCATGGCAGCAGACAGAGACGACCACTCGTTGGTGGAAAGTGAAGGTCGGGCCACCGCCGCCCTCCCTATTGGGGACCCCGCGAGCGAGGCCGCAGCAGCCGGAACAGGACCCTGCAACGAGGAGTTTCAAGAGCTACTAGAAAGCCTCCACAATGAATTGGATGAGGTCACAAAGAAGAAGGCCTCAGTGGAGGCTGCTTTAGGCGATGAATTGGATTCGTTGCTTATCGTCGAGGCAACTAAGGCAGTGCCTGCCCCGGATGGAAAGCAACTCGCCCTTCAAATGAAGGACTTGGAGAAAGCTTTTGCACCCACCAGGGTGGCCGACCTGACTGCAAAAGTCAGTGCATTGACGGAACACGTGTATGGGTGCCAAGAGCTTGCGGATAAGATGAGTTCCAGCGTCCGGGAGCTCGACGAACGGCAAATGCGGGTGCAGCGGGTGTTGGCCATGGTGGAAGACATCATAAATCTTAAAACCTGCGCGGAGGGTGTGGCCCGTGCCCTGGAGGAAGATGATCTCCTTGGTGCTACCAGCTACGTGCGCCAATTCCACAGCATTGAGGGAGCATCCGCAAAGGCATCGGGGCATTACAATGTCCTCGTGGCCGCGGAGGCGCGGTTGAAGGAGACGGTGTTGAGAAGGGTGCACTTGGCGGTCTCACGGTCCGAGCTGGACGACGTGTTCAAATTCTGCCCGCTTCTGGGTCCCTTGGGCCTGGCCAAGGAAGGCGCGAGCATTTACGAGTCCTTCGCGGAGCGGCTGCTGAAAGAGGGGCTCGACCCCCTGGCCGCGGAGACGAATAAGCTCCCGGCCGTACAGCTGTTGCCCAAGATCTACAACACCGCGGCAGGTTTTTTGCAGCGTCATTTGCCCTTGGTGTCGCACGGCTTCAAACAGGTGGACGCGGACGTGTCTTTGATCCGCCTGGTCCAGCGAGAGTGCGAGGATGCGGCCATCCCGGTGATTCGTCGGTTTCTGGAGGACAAAGGCGTGGCCGAGAAGTGCCGCGCGGTGGCGGAGGCCAGCCGCGGCGACGATGGGTTGGACGGTGGGGCATTTCACGCCCGGAAGGAGGGGGGCCATCGCCGACGAGGAGCGCAGGCTTCGGGCGGCGAGGGAGAGGAGGCGTTACCCATCGGGGAGATGGACGGGCTGATGGACGCGCTCGCCCTCGTGATACAGCACACGGAGAGCTACGACCGGTTCCTGCGACACGTGGCGGCCGAGGTTCTGGAGACGGGCCGGGACCTGGGAGCGCCCGTCTTGCCGGCGGTCACGGATTTGAACGGGGCGGTGGCGGAGGTCGCCGGGCCCTTCGCCCTGTTGGAGGACTATGTGATGCGCGCCTCCATCGCCAAGGCTCTGCAGATCGACGAGCTACCGCCCTGCCCGCTCTCGCTCGTGCNGGCAGGCACCTCCCTCGTGGCCTCGGGCGCAGGGATTGCCTCCATCGGCGAGGGCGACGACCTGCTCCTCAGCACCGGCCGTGGGGACTCTCCCCTCACCTCGAGCGCCGTAGACGACAGCTTCTACGTGCTCAGGCGGTGCGCTCGACGTGCCTTGGTCACCGGGCACGCAGGGACGGCCTCCGCCATCATCAATTACATCAATGGTGCCCTCTCGGACGAGCTCATGTCCGTCTTGAGCGCCAAAGTCCGGTCTCTTCGAGAGCTCCCTCTGCCAATCGGGCTGCTCCCCGCCGCCTCCTCTTTGGGGGCACCCGTTGCAGGTACAGCGGTGGTAGCTGTCAAGCAGCATTGGAGCAAAGTGAAGGAGGGAATAGGTGCGGGCCTGGAGACTGCGCAACAGCTCACCGCGGCTGCGGGGTCTTTGATGGGCGGCGCTGCCGGCGTGGGCCTGGGCGGGGGGGGATTGGGGGCGGTGACTTGTTACCCTTACGAGGAGGCGAAGAACGCTTTGGATCGTCTGGTCATGCTGAACAACCTGTCCGCCTGCGCGCGCTACACTCTTAAATTGCAGCAAGAATTGATGGCCGAGGTTCCCTCCATTTTCCAGGACGACCCACCGACGCAGCAGCTCATGGCGTGCCTGCAGGACATGTCGGTGACGGCGAAGCACTTCGAGCAGACGGTGGACGAGGGTTTGCAGCACGTGGCGGCACTCATCAAGCCCAAGTTGCGCAGCTTCCTCCAGGACGCGTTGGGGGTGGCACAGGCCGTGGGGAAAGGGCAAGGAGGGGATGCGGGCCAGGGGGGGGCAAGAGGGGGCAGCAAGGTTTCCTACGAGTTGGACGAGGACGAGTTTGCAGCCAATGAGGCGGCAGATCCATTCATGAATCGGTTCCTTGAGTTTTTGGGGGGGTTGCTGGGACCGATATCCCTACGGCTTACGGGACGAAATTTCAGTGTCCTGAAAATGTCGGTGGTGGCCTACATGGCCAAGCGTTTGGAGTATTTGCTGATGCGGCTACCCTTCACACAACTGGGTGCTTTGCAGCTCGATAAAGATCTGCGCTGCTTGATAGCCTTCTTTCCATCGTCCACGGGCTATGGCGATTATAGCGAGACTGGTCAAGAGAGCGGACGAGTTCGAGATTATTTCGCTCGCCTTATGCAGATGAGTCATTTGCTGAACCTTGATGTCCCTACAGACATAGTAGATGTCTTCGGAGGTAACAGCATGAAGCTCACAGTTGAAGAAGCGCTCAACGTCATGAGGTTGCGAACTGATTGGGAAGAGGTTGAAATCTGCAAAGCTCAGGAACACCTGCTTATGACATTATCAAATGGAATATCTTCCGACGCACTATGAAAGCCATGAATTGAAAGAACGTTGTAAAGTATCGTGCTGCCCTGGTATCTTTATTTTAGCCTCAAAATCTCGTTCTATATTGATCACGAAGAATCCCTTCTTCGATGGTGGAAAAGGGAGATGACGTGCGAAAAATGTCTCTATGAAGGCTAATAGAATTTTCATGTTTTATTTTTGATTTTCAAAGGGCGCAACGGCTTGGATTGTTTGTTGCTTTAGGTTTGATATTAACCCAAGATATCATGACGGATGGATCAAAGGTACATTAAAAACTTTCACCAACTTACTTGACACTCATGATTATACAAGCAAGGCCTTCTCGGGAGGTAACACGAAAATCCGACTACGGCACAGCTTCAGCGGACAACGCAGCGGGATGATGATATCTTTCACGAATATCGTACCACCTGGTTTCTATGTCCTTTATTAACAATAATTCATGTTCGGATAAGTTGAAAAACTGGTCGTATCTGGTCTAATGGGAAAAGGAAGTAGGACAACAAAAGAAAGGAGGGAACATCCGGAAACAGCTGCTCAGCCGTTTTTTTTTGAATTTGTCGCTCTCAAATCTCGAAGGACACCTTGCTCGCTCAAACCGCGTCCTTCTTGCGGCAAGTGAAGAAATTCAGCTTTTACTTTGCATTTCCACGTTTTTATTGCTCGTTGCTGCAATTAACAAATGATTTGCGTTGATAGGTATATTTTCACCTTTGTAATTTGGTCTAAATATGTGGTCGTTTGTTATTCGCGCAAGCAGGTCGAGCTTTTTGTGAAAGCTTACGATTCTGACCGAATGGAAGCCCGTTTCTTTGAAAGGCGTTGTCTGTACTCCACCATATGCTGAGCGTCTCCGCAGAAGTACATTTTTAAAAGTGGATTTTAAAGGCAATCTGAAATAGGACAAACTACACAAATAAGATGAGTGCCGCACGATGTTTGCTTACGCGGTGATATTGATACTGCTGACTGTGAAGCATTATTTATATCATCTTCCCTAGTGGCCTCGAGTATTTTCTTGAAAAGACTTTCTGCGTCTTAAGGAAGCTCTTTGTCTTAATTCGTCTTTTCTTTCACATATGAGACCAGCTTCAAAAATGACGACAGCCGTTTGCACAAGCCAATGGTATTGCCCCCCGGAGACTTTGACGGCCACCACCCGTGTCTATGCCGCACGAAATACAACTTATTCCTTCATCCAGGTATGTAAAAATTAACAAACGCCTTTTCTGCGCTCCATCCTGCCGAAAAAGAGCCGAGAGGGTAAAATGATTGCCATTAGGCACATTTTAGGCAAATGACTTCTTGTGGACTCTCAGCTACCCTGGAATGTCAAGTTAAACAAACGGACAACAATGCCCTTCCTTGCCAACAAATCAAAAATCAATTTCTGTACACTTGACTTCATCTTACCATACAATCCCTACGCATCCTCCGTATTCATTTGTAGTTCTGGCAACTTTATCCATGGCTGGAGAACTTTTACGCCCCGTTCGAGAAAAACTTCAACCCCTTGCCGATATTTGAGTTTGTGAGCGGGAACTGGTGGGTCGTTTACATTTCTCTGGCCATCTACATGTCCATGATCATCTTCCTGCCCATGATCATGAAGAAGCGTCCCCTGAAAAACCTGAGCACGCCACTTGCGTGCTGGAACCTCTTTCTGGCTGTGTACAGCACCATTGGCGCCGTTCGCGTGGTCCCCCACTTGCTGTGGTTCATGTCCACGCACACCTTCAAGCAGACTGTCTGCACAGCCCCCTACTACATCAATGGGGACGGTGCCACGGGGCTGTGGGTGACGCTTTTCACGCTCTCCAAGGTGGCGGAGCTCATCGACTCTCTCTGGATATGTTTGAAGGGACGTAGGCCCATCTTCTTGCACTGGTAGGTGTCAGACAATGTTTTTTCGTCCAGGCGTGGGGGGTGGCGAAGAGAAGAGAATTTCGTCCTGGTGCCTTATGCGGTCCTCCCCCTGGAAGAGGGAGCTTGCGTGGCCACGTCTAACGTCAGATGATCTTTCCCTCAATCTTCACAGGTACCATCACGTCTCGGTGCTCTACTTTACATGGGCCGCGCACGAGGCTGCTCACCCGGGCATGTACTTCATCGCCATGAACTACACGGTGCACTCAGTCATGTATACCTACTACTTTCTGATGGCCATCAAGGCGAAGCCCAAATGGCTCAAGTACGTAAAGGGAGGTAGATTGCTACGAGAGTCAGTTGTGTGGCCCGGATTTCTCCTTTAAGATCATCCCTCTTGACGAATTCGTGCCTGAAGCCCTCCTTGCCCTTGCCATCGCTCCGTGCATAACTCGTAAAAGCAGGTCTTACTTGTCTGAAAATTTCTCTTCCCTCTTTCTTCCTATTGTAGCCCTATCTACATCACATTCATGCAAATTGCACAAATGCTGGTGGGCGTCATCATTTCCTGCTTTGGGTTCTACTATTCCTCTATGGACGCTTCTTGCGCTGTCGACCCCTTCGTCCTGAAAGTGTCTGCGGTCATCTATGCGTCTTACCTATACTTGTTCATGCAGTTCATGATCAAGCGTTTCTTCGTCAAGAATGCCAGGGCAGGACAGGAAGGGAAGGTGGCAGCGTCAGCTAAGAAGAATATTTAGGGAATAGTGAGGGCCAACTATGTATTCTGCTCAAGCTCGTCCAACTAACTCTACTATATATGGTGGCCGAGTGTATTTTACTCGCACTTAGAAAAAAACAAATAAAGACAACACCCTGCGTGTGACATGTATAACCAACGTGGGGCTTCATAAAGGTCCTATTGATGGAAGGCGTGCGACCGCCGTACTCACGCCTGCAAGGGGCATCGTCCGCTTTCAAGAAATCTCAAGAACTATGAACAGTGCTTGTCCATAATATAAAATAGTCTAGGATGTCGGGTGGTTGTTATGTGAAGAAGGTATGAGGCGGCCATCACACGCATGTCGGGTGCTGTCCTAAAAATGACAGGCTCCGGAGGCGGTCGTAAATGAATGACGAATAAAGAATGCAAGGACAAATTGAAACAGCCAAAGATTTTTCCGTCAGAGTAAAAATCTTCTTTACTGGCTCAATTTTATGCGTAGCAAATACCGTTTTTGAACGGGTTTCTCACAACGATACCCGGATCTTTCTGAAAGCAAGCACACGGAGGCCTGTGACAAGATTACAAGTATATCTTGCGAGATACATCAAGGGTGGGCTAAACATCTTTTTGGATACCTTATTCGTAAATTGTTGTCGCTACGATTGAAGAATTGTATTATTGCCCTTTTTGATCAAAAAGTCGTTGCTCCAAGCATAGCAAGCAGAACATGATCTCAATATCTGACCCCAGGAACGGGACTGGAAAAGGATCAACATTGCGAAGAGCATGCCAAGGAGAACATGACATGAGCATGGACCTCCGCATGTATTTATTTGACATTCGACTCTCCGCAACAGAGTTGTCTGTCCGCCCCAGATCCTGGGCGCGATCTTTTACAGCTTTGTATACACCGCCCCAGAGCTAGATCAAGCCCAGCCAAATCCGACAATTTAACCCTTTCGTTGTCCAACGATTTCCTTGCCCGTAACATGTACTATCGGTCCTCATTATGAAGCTAACATGACAGTGTTGCGTCACCTGAGTGAGATGTAAATAATTCAGCCAATGTGGGGAGGTCGAGTAGATGATTGTTTAGTGGTACTTCAATCTTTACCTATTATACGATTTGAATTAATTCGCCATCCAAGATTAAGGTCGACTTGTCCATTCAGATACTTTTGATGGTGATGTG